AAGTGACGCTATAGAAATAAACTGAATTGAACTGAATGACTCCATAGCATATCGTACTCAGAACAACTGATGGTAGGCACTCTGTAACTGACTAGTTTGACTACCCCAGGGAGGTCAAGGGAGTACAGCTACCTGCAGGGCCTAGCTTAGCTGGTCCCTTATCACTATTAGTCAATGGGCACCAACTAGAACCCCACCTTGCTAAGAACTGAGAACAAACTGACACAAAATGGCAAAGTCCATGGACTTTTCAGCTCCAGGTTGTTTGGTCAGGACAAAGGTCAGTTGGCTTTGCCTTAGATTATTTGTTCACTAGAAATTTTAAAGCTGTTCATAGGAAATGTCCTATATTAATCTGAAACTATATGTAGAAAAGAAGCAGCAACAGGGAATGTTCATTCTCCTCCATATGCATCCTGCATCCAGCCTTCTGGTTTATGTCACCCTTTTCCATAACACTGGATCAGAACAAAGGATTGCTCCAAGAGATTATTAGCAACCTGTTAATAACGCAGACTTTTCTGTTTTTGTAACACCACAGCTTTTATCTTGAAAGGGGCTACAGGTTGAAACCTCGTTAAATGCGTACTTACAAATCACTTCCTCTCTGTGCAGCTATGTGAAGCGGCAACATTCCCGTTTTTCCAGGCTTGTTGGCATCAGCTTTCTGAGACAGCAGCAGCTCAACAACTTCTTCGTGTCCCATTTTAGCAGCTTCATACAGAGCCGTCGCTCCGTCATCAGCCTGCGTGTTGATGTCTGCACCTGCAGGAAGAAAGTGAAGGGTCAGGAGTCAAAATTTCCTGGAAAATCTGGCATTTATTGTTTAGACACAGGTAACACACAGAGACGAGGTGTTAGCTGTTATGATCAGTGGCCAGAAATATGTTTTAGGATCAGTGTCAAGGCTCAGAACAAGAGGACCCAAAAAACGTTTATTTAGAAAACAGATCTGCAGCGAACGGTCTAAGGCAGGAACCACTGCAGGGCGAGAACACAGGTTAGTGACCAGGTCTCTCTGGCGGAGGATGATAACGAACATGTGAGTTACTAACCTGTTCATATAGTTCTGTCTGAGCCCAGAGAGTGAGGTTGGTTCCAGCCGGTTGGCTGCCAACTAGACACTGTGGGTGTCTCCCAGAGAGTCCCCGACGTTGAAGTCCCGGACGTCAGAGAACAGAAAGGAGATCAGAACCGAGCACACAAAGGAAGGACAGGATAATCCAGAAGGCGAGGCCAAAGCCGGTGTCGAGGACGTGCTCAGGAGTCATAGCCAGGAGATCAGAGATCTTAAGAGGTACCAAAGGGGCATACAGGATGGTGTCAGGAATCAGATTCAGGTTCTGTACACAGGCAGTATCCAGCAGGAGTCGGAGGACAGGTCAGGCAAACAGATCAGAATGGGGACAGGCAGGCTCAGAGGTCCAGAGGCAGAATGGGTCAGGATCAGGCAATCAGAAACACTCAGGTAATAGAGAACTCTCACTACAGACTCTAATGATGTGGTACTGATGACAGGTTGAAGGCTGGTTAAATAGAGGCTGGAGCAGGTGAATCAGATGAACAGTATTGAGAACTGGGCAGAGTTAGGCAGGTCATCAATGCCAAGATCATGACAATCAGAGCACCCTATTGCTCAGCATCTCAGTGACGGCGTAATCTGTGCTAACATTCTGCAATAATGCTTTTTTAGCAAGACTTTAAAATGACATTAATTTTCCTTACAAAGTTTGAAATGAAGAAAGAAAAACTATTTATTTTGTTTTGAAATAAATAATCAATTTTAGTTGATTTCATGCAAAAGAAAGAAATAACATTTAAAAGTGTTTATATAAAAAAGTCACACTTTGGAGTGATGTCATACAGTAATTCATGTGTTCAAAATTGTGAGGAAAATATTAAAAAAAACTTTAGACATCGATAAATTGCTGTATTATCCGAGCAACAATGAGGAGCTTAGTATCACAGAGTGCCCAAATAAATCAGTAAACCCAAACTGTCCGGGTGATAATGTTTTAGTTCTGTTTCCTGTCATATGTTCCTGATATGAAGGGAACATGCTTGGTGCCACAGAAAGGTAGCATCTCTTCTTACCAGCTAGCATCATCACACAGTAAGAGAGATCGGATGATTTTTGTCACGATCTTGGCTGGGGGAGTGGTGGAACAGTGGTTAGGGAATAGAGCTTGGAATCCTGAGGTCCTGAGTTCAAGCCCCACTCCCACAGACTGCCACTCTGGGTCCCTGAGTAAGATCCTTAACCCCACACTGCTCCCTGGGCGCTGCACAATTGCAGCCCACTACTCCCCAAGGGGATGGATTAAATGCAAAGAGTTCATGAGCTTAATTGCTCATTCCATTCACCTGTCTAACTCCGCCCGGCTGCTCATCTGTTTCCAGCTCCAATTTATGCTGCCTGTTTTCCAGCCATCAGTGCCAGATTATTCAAGTTGTGAGTGAGAGTAACTCTAGTGATACTGTGATATACAGATTTTCTGATCCTGACAGGTTTTATGCTATTGGACTTCCAAGATGTGCTTTGCCCCTGTTTTGCTCCATTAGCCTGATCTATTATGGACTGATTTCTGGATTCTGCCGCATTACCGACCTTGGACACGTCTCCTGACCTCGCCATGGATTTGGTACTTCTTCGGCTCTCTGATCTTCTGGCCTGGAAACCTGGTTCTGCTACGACTCTGGGCTCAGACTGAACTCCAAACCAGGTTAGTGACTTACTTACTCATTGTCATGGCCCGTTTGAGTTTTCAAAGTCACTAATCTGAGTTTCCAATTCTACAGAGGATCCAATGAACCTGCCCCAGCTGTGAGCCACAGAGCACTGAGCGAAAAATAAATGCTTCTTTTGATAGAACTCTGAGCTGTCTGCTTGTATTCTTGGTCTAACATTCTGAGTGCCTGACAACTATTGACGTGGGAGATACTGTAAAAATTGTGCATATGTGGACTCATCTCTCAGTTTTCTTTTTTTGCTGATATCATCAAGGTTAGACCATGTTCCACTACCTGCTGGAGTGCTTTTAGGATCCAGAGATTCCCAGGGTGAACTGGGTGGCAAGACAGGCTAATCTTAGTGAAACTGAGTGTGTGCTGAATCCTTCAGCTCCTTCTTCCCACGGACTGTGTGGTAGGACTGACATAGAGTCACACTTTGATCGTAGAAGGGCCCCAACACACCAAAAACTGAGGTAGGGTATAAGACAGTTTTATATTTTTGCCAGCTTTATTTTGTTAGTTTGTCATTTTGGGTTTATTGTTCTTCAAACATTGTATGTTTGCATCTCACCTGCTGATTTGCAATAATAGGTAGCAGCACAAATTAAACTAAACGGTTGTCTGAGTCATTATTGATGTTCAAAATACAGCTCTTGTCCTTTGACACAGTTCCAGTTTGCTATATATACTGTATTTCCCTGAGGCCAGTTAGTATAACATTACAAAGGTTACATTCTGCCATCTTGATGATGTAATGGACCTTTTCGCCTGCTGTGTAAATCGCTTTCCATGGCCAGGCCAATTTCAAGGCAAGCAAAAACTGGCGGAACTTTCGCAGGTTTCGCATTAGCTCTGAAGGAACCTTAGGTGTTACATTGGTTACAGGAAAACAGTCAGACAGATGATTACTACTTTTTCAAGAGCTCTACTCACAAAGCAGTG